TGACCTTGAAATATCCGTTCTCCTGCTTCTGCCGCAGGCCGGCACCCAGACCGTACAAAGACGCGTCCGCTGTGACCACAGTCTCTTTGTTCGGGTCGTATATGCCGAGTACGGGATCTGATGACAAAAGGGTCTTCCATCTCTTGAAGGCTTCTTCTTGTGGGCTTTCCCAGATGAAGCTCTGTTTTGACGACAACATTGATGACAGCGGCTGCAGCAACTCGGCCATGTTTGGGACAAATCTTGCCAGATATGTTGCCATTTCCATCACACGCCTCAGTTCTTTCTTGAACGTAGGGCTGGGCATCGCAGCAATGGCACGAAGTTTTTAGAGCGCAGCTCTTAGGCGCCCGTTTCCGGCTTGAGCGGCGTCGGCGTAACCAAGGTCACCCCAAGGTCACGTGACCTCCCAGGTCACGTGACCCCCAAGTCACGTGACCTCCCAGTTCACGTGGCCCCCAGGTCACGTGACCCCCAAGGTCTCGTGACCCCCAACGTCTCGTGACCCCCAAGGTCACGTGATCCCTCACAAGGTCACGTGACTTTCAAGGTCTCGTGACCCCCCGAGGTCACGTGACCCCCCGAGATCACGTGGCCCCCCAGGTCACTTGCCCCTCTCCCCGAGGTCACGTGACCCCCCTCCGAGGTCACGTGACCCCCTCCCCCCGAGGTCAGGTGACCCCCCCGGAGCATATTAAAGAATGAGGGGAGGAGAAGGAGAAGGAGGAGGAGGGGTCTACCCTCCCCTCAGTACCCTTCCCTCCTCCTCCTCAAGAGCTGCGCTCCAATTCGGCGTTACAGGGAGTTGTAAACAGCTTTCACTTTTTTGTTGTCAGGTCTTGCTTCGTTGTTTTCTAGGACGTGACCCAGAAAGGAAATTCGGGTCTTGCTGAACTGGCACTTGTCCATGTTCAGGGTGACTCCGGCAGTACTGGGACGACTATTGACGTGTCGTAGCCGTTCATCATGTTGCTGTCTTGTTGACCCCCAGATGAGCACGTCATCCATGTGACAGTCGACTCCGTGGAGACCTTCTAAGATCGATGCCATTCGTCTCTGGAAGTGCTCGGGAGCTGAAGATATGCCAAACGGCAAAGGGTTGAAACAAAACCGCCCGAATGGCGTAATGAAGGTGGTAAGGATTCTGCTATTTTCGCAGATAGGGTTTTTCTAAAATCATGAATTAACGTCCATATTGGAAAAAAACTTCGCTCCTTGAAGCATGCCCAACCTGTGCTCCACGGCGGGGATCGGGTGTCATTCTCGCAAAATGAATTTGTTCAGTTCCGTGTAGTTGACGCAGATGCGGAGTGCTCCAGATGGTTTAGGCACAACCACCAATGGCGCGCACCTAGATGTTGGCTCAGCAACCGGTGAGATCACTCCTTCGCTCTGCATACGAGCGAGTTCCTGCATTGTATTCTCGTAGAGAGGCAGGGGTACCCATCGAGGGGAACGGTTTGGCGTCGTCGTATTCTTCTTTCAGGGATCCGAGACTACTAAAGAGGTTCGAATATTTGGACTCGACGTTTTCTTTTTCGATGACGCTGACCCGTGCTGCAAGTTCGCTGAGAACGTCTAGGTTTTCAATGGCAGGTTTCCCCAAAAGGACTTCGGAGTATGTACACATCTTCGAGACTATCTCGTCCCCTGAGAGTCGATCATCTTCATCTCCACCATGCCCACAACGATGAGTGGTTTACCGTTGGGGCTGTTGAGGGGGCGTCTCGCTGGTTGCAGCTGTATCTTTTTAAACAAGATGTGGAACAGGTCTTCGGGAAGTACGGTTTCAGCCGCTCCTGTGTCGACCTTGAGCACAACTTCCTTGCTATTGACGATCACAGCCCCGTCCCATATTGAAGAGTTTTCGTTCTCTGCGAGGCCCAGAAAACCTGGTTCTTCTTGAACGCTGCGGACAGTTGGTGTCAAACGGCAAACGGTGGCGAAGTGTCCTTTCTTTGTGCATTTCCTGCAAGAAGCATCCTTTGCTGGACGCGCACTTTTAGAATGACGTTCGCGGCCACACCATCCGCAAGATCCTGTCTGCTTCTTGCCGCTTGAGGCTTTTGCAGTTTTTGACGTTGAAAGGCTTGATGGTCCACGGGACTTTTACCTGGATTCTTTCGCGTGAACGCTTGGCTTTTCCCGGCTTGCACATTGTCTATGATGAGTTTTTGTGCTTGTCCGTTGTGCATTTGTGCCTGTTGCTGACGAACAGTCTCGTATTGGCGTGCAACGGTCAGTGCTTTCAGAAGGTTTAGGTCTGCGTCGAGTTTCAGCCTTTGAGACACCTTTCTTTTTCTAAAGCCAAGGACGAGTCTATCTCGGACGAGTTCTTCCCGAAGGATCCCGTAATTACAGGTGTCTGCTAGCACATGCAATGCCGTGACGAAGTCTTCAACCGACTCAGCGTCCTGCTGAATCTGGGTGTTGAAGCGCGCCCTTTCGAAGACAATGTTCCGACGGGAAAGGGAGTAGGTGTCGAACTTGCTCAGGACCACTTCGAAGTCCTCCTTTTCAGCGTCGCTGAGTGTGAACGAGTTGAACACCTCTTCGGCTTGGGTGCCCATTAGGTAAATTAGCTAAATTACGTCGCCGCTCCTACCGTACCCGGTCTTCTTTTCGCGATGAAAGGGCACGCGGCCGACCCTTCGTGAGTCCAAACCGAAACTGAAAAGAGCGTAGGAAAGCGCGCAAGACAGACGAGGACAAAGAAACACACGTGACGTACGCTCCGCTTATCTCGTGTGTTTTTTCGTCCTCGTCTGTTTTGCGCGCTGTTTCCTGCAATAAATTCCCACAAACTCGCCCAACTATCCATTCTTCTATGATAGCTGGAAAGGTTTCCGCCATCTATGAGCGACGGCGGCAACCAGACTGGTTGCCGCCGACGCTCATAGATGGCGGTAGCTGTCCAGAGGTTCCTCCCTAGGTTCGTGTAGGTTTGTGTCGACATTTCTTTGGTACCGGACACGTTCCTGAAGAACCTAGCCCTTAAAGGGGCAGTGCAACGGTTTTAATGTTGAAAGAATTGCCAGTTTGCATTTTTTATATTGTTCATACAAGCCCAAGTGACCAAAAACGCGTCACCTTTCCCCAAAAAACGGCTATTCTGCTGCGTAATCGCAAGGCAAAAAACGAATTATTTGCCGATCTGCAGCCGCCGGTGGCGGCTACGGGAACTAAAATGACGGCGTCTCTGGGGGATACGCGGAAGTCAACAAACCCTGTCCCCCTCCGCTGCTACACTCGCCGTCAGCCCCATAGAGAACCGTCCTTTGTGTCCATCGCTCGCCGCGACCTTCGACGAGGCTAATCCTTTGGAAGTCGACAATCGCGGAGGAAGCGGCTGGGGTCTCTGAAGAGAGGGCCCAGGGGGAAACCACGTGAACCCCCAGAGACGTCACTCGAAAGTCGGCGTGGAGAGTTGAGAGGCTCTTCGACCTTCGATTTGTTCAATTTTTTTAAATAAGAACTAGCGCTCGCAAAGAAATGCGGCTTTCGGTTTTTCGTTCCATAGGTGACGCAGATTAACTTCCGCACTTAACTGGCCAAAGTCTGAAAATCGTTGCACTGCCCCTTTAAAGGGGCCCTGCAAGCAGTTTTTTACTAATTTTTAATTTGCACCAAACCTGAGCGCACTGAACGTAGTAACTTAGTGTAACTTTTATTTTCTTGAAATTCGCTTTATTTTAAAAGTTATAGGCAAATCAAAATTACAAAAACAAGCAAAAAATAACGTCCCTCATGACGTCCTTGGTTGCTTGAGCGGCCGTGAACTAGAGGAGGGGTAGTGAGCTCATCGCGAGCGCTCACAGCTGCCGCATTCCGTGTCGACGGCGCGAGAGGGCGCCACTAAAGCATGTTCTGAACACGCTGTATGCAGCGGGCAGCCAGAGCGGCTCTCGTTGCCTTTGCTGCGTGATTAAACACTAATTCGGCATGACACTTCATTGGCCACTAACGACAGCAAACACGGGGTAAAGATGAGTTCAGAGTGGGAGCCACTTTGCGCTGCCATACCGCGAAACGGGCAAACCGCAAGACAAAGCATCTCGCCGACGGCCTTGGGAAGGCTCGGAGCCGGTCGGATCCTCCTTCCCATACGACCGCAGCGCTGCCGCATACATCCGGGACCTTTCCGTGTCGGCGCCAGATCCCACTACCCCTCCTCTAGTTCACTTTACCCTTTCTAGTATGCGCCGCCTTTTCCACCGCTTGGTGGCGGGTATGTCGACCGGTCGTTTCTTGTTTCCGTACGTTATGAACTGCATTCGTTTCTTTTTTTTTTTTATCTAAAATACTGAACAAAAACTACTTTTATAAATAATTGAAACGGTTCGCGCCACTTATATATTGTATTTCGACTAAAAAGAAGCTTTTAGCGGCTCTGACCAGTAGTAAGTCCAGGACCAAAGACGTCACATTTTGCGCGCTTTCGGTACCGCGGGTCGAGCTCGTCGGTGGAAGAGGTTTCCGCGTCGTCCGGTTAAAATATGACGCACTGATATCTAGTTACTCTCTCCGTGCCCACTGGCTTGCCCGAACCCCAAGAGACGTGGAAACGCCAAAAAAGGTAGACGCTTAAATATGATTGCAAAGCCCCTTTAACAGCTCCGCTGTAAAAAAAAAAAAAAAAAAAAAAAAAAAAAAAAAAAAGTGTAAAGTTTAAAGTGACCAAATTTCAATTGTGGTTCACTGGTACTAAACGTGATATTGAGAATGAGTTCTAAGATACAATCGTGGGTTAGGGGACTAAGTCACGTCTAAATTTGTACAGGCACAATATCCGGCATGTCGGGAACCAAGAAAAGTGCCCCGGTCTTCCTTCTATCGCTCGAGAATGCTTAGAGTATTGTACATTCGTGTGAAGTCGCACAATCGACAACGCAAGCGGTGCATTCGGTCACGGCGCGATAGCAGGAATTGAAGCTCCTCAATCGAAACCGAAACTGAGTGGCCAACTAGTTCCCAATCTGCACTGCGTTGCATTTTGCCGTGATGGGACTAACCTCCTTGGATGGGACACGCTTCAAGTTTTCGAAGACGTCTGCGTCACCGTCCGCTGTTGACCCTGGCAATCTTTCTGGCCATATTTCTTTTCTTTTTTTTTTCAGAAAGAAAGCTACGTTTTCTACTTTTACAACATAAAATTGACCCGTGAAATAGACCTTTGATGAAAACTAGATCGTTACGTGCAGGCGCCGAAATTTTCCGCAACAGAAAGTTATCAGATAGGTGAGAATTATCCAATCCAATCCAAGGTTTGTATCGCCGCTCAGGTCGCACATGTGCTTTGGCCATTAGTGTGCGGCAGCGATCATCGACTTGTTTTAATTATACTATAATTTTCCTTTTTAGTCTCTGCCGACTTCCATTCGTGTCACAGTGAATGCGGTGAATGTACGAGACGGGCGTTATGTCGTAAAAGCGCACGAATGGTGTAGAGTGGTTACAATGTGTGCAACACCAAGGTCACTTGCTTCGCAACTGCAGGTTGGGTTCAAACCAAATGGGCTGCTGTTTTGACGGCACAAACTGCCGTTGTTTCGTTAACCGTGGCTACGCTGGTGAGGTCGAAACGTGAGCACCCCGTCTTTTTCATTCACCCGTGACCGCTTTCTAGCCATGTCGAGGCACCTGCAGAAGTTGATGCGCCTGTCCGGCCACTGCCGTGCTCTGCTCCGCCAACACCCATCTACAGTCGTGCAAAAACTGGACACCCCAATGCTCGCCGTGAGTTCGAGACTGTCAGTGCGCAACCTAAACATCGCCGATCGTCCAAAGCACGGCTCGTCCGTCGACACGTCTCCAGGGTCCGAGGTCGAGATGAGCGTGGACGACTTCGAGGAACTCGCCACATCGGAAGAGAACCGCAAAAAGATCCACCTGATCCTGCTCGAGTACGTCAACAGCCGAGACACGGTCGGCCGCGTGCCATCGAAACTCACCGTCAAGGAGATGACCGAACTCTTGGCACTACGCTCGACGATGGCTCGCTCCCGCTACTTCAACTACCTGTTCAAGACCGAGATGGCGGAGCTGGCGGCCAAACGGCTTAGGGAGCGCCGCCGTCTCGAGCGCGAAGCCGCGAAAGAGGAAAAACGGAAACGCGCTTTAGAGGACGGCACCATCAACCACATCCAGTACGGCCCCGAGAACACCATCTTCCTGTTCATCCGCGACCCCTCCATGTCGCGCTTCTACAACTACCGCCAGATGTACTCCGCCATGTTTGGACAGACGCTTGTTTACGACCTTGACTACGAGAGCGAGATGACGAAGCGGGAGATCGTGAACGCCGCCGACCAACTGCAGGAGGCGTACGCAGCCAACCGCACTCACCCGGACCCGTTCAACCTTGTCTTCTGCAACGTCGAGGAGGGCGGCCAGTACAAGAGGAAGCTGCTGGGCGCGCTGCCGCACCTGGAGCAGCCCAACTGCCTGATCACGACGACGGAGAAGAGCTACCTGGACCTGTACCCCAGAGAGCGGCTGGTATACCTGACCCCTGACGCGAAGCAGACGCTGTCGTACGACCACGACGCCATCTACATCGTCGGTATGTTCGACTTCACACAATGTGGACTCAAATCACTAAATGTGTTCCCAGAGTACTCCTAAGCTTTGTTTCCGAACTCCCTCACAATGCCACCATCGAATGCTTGAGGTGGGGCAGTCGAGGCTCGCTCGCTGGTGGACGACGAACAATCTGCCGTTCTCGTCTTGCGAGCTAAGCTACAAATTATTTGATATTGAAAGCTTTAGCTAGAATCCAATGAGCTTACTCATTGGCTGCTTGAGTCTATAGCTTCGGTTCCTGGAACGCCTCTTTGGCCAATGTGTTCAGCGTTCTACGCCGCCCACGCATAAAAATGGGGTCCTGAAGCGGCAACGTCAAATCTCGCAGGAGCCGACGTCTCGTGCCGTCAATTGCAACAATCAGAAGCCTTGATTCTCCAATTTTTCATAGATGCTGTGGAATGAAGTACCCTTCGAACGTTCACTGGCCCTAGTCTAGAGCCGCGGCGGACAACCCTTGTCAACTTCAATATTTTGTCAACTTCAATAGCTTCAATATTTTAAACAAAATTAAGTGTGAAGAGGCTGTAGGTGCAATTTCTTTGTTACTTGGGTAAGGTGATTACAGGCATAGATATTAATCCAATCTGGAACATCTCACATTTTGAAAATTGCTCTACTAGTGAGTTATGTCATTATTCATCTCTAAGAAAGGTAGTTGGCAAAGACATGGATATGTGGCCACTCTTTCATACTTTGCATCGTTTTGGGTTTTTAAAGACCCTTTGTATTGAAGGGAAGGCTAGTAAAAGAGCAAGGATGTGTTTAAGGCTGAGCTGAACAGATGAAAAATGTAAAGTGAAGCATGCATGCTGATAATAGCATATGCCATGCGTTCCTCTTAGCTGTCACAACCTCCATTGGGAGTTGATAGTCCAGAGTCGACATAGGAGAAATATTCCGCCAAAACAGTAAGTTTAGCTACGTGGTTACTTCTTATCCACTTTTCGTGAAGTTGGGAGAGACTGGAGAAGATCCTATTGGCGACTTCTGTGAAATCAACGGCACCCAGCAGTCAGATTAGAAAGGTCGCTTGGCAGGTTCACTTACTAACTTTCTCAAGCGAACTGGATTTTTGCAGCACTTGTGGTCTAAAGGAAAATGCTGTGAAAGTAGGGTAGAAAACATGCCATGAAAATGACCAGTACGTCCATCTGACTTCTAGATGCACTGATTTATGGCCTTCCAGGTTGACAGCCATTGCCAGTAACGCCCCAATCACCTTGGTCCACCTTCTGGTAACGAATTGCAGTGGGCATAGCATATTGAAGCTGTGTTAAGGTCCCTCGGTAACGTGGGCGTACCAACCGGGGGGGCAAGGGAGGCGCTTGCCCCCCCCCCCCCCCCCCCCCCCCCCCCCCCAGAGTTCTCAGAGTAGGGGGGGCAAGGCGTATGTTTTGCCCCCTGAAACAGCCGCCATGGGCAGGGCAAACACTGGCCGGCGGCGCACAGGGGATAACAAGGGCACCGGCCCTCGGGGGGGGGGGGGGTGTCTGGCTTGCCTCTCCACTCAAACACAAGTTGGTACGCCACTGCTCGGTAATGTTTCCGACCTCTGTATGCAGTGTGTTTTTCGTGAACTGCCCAGGAGCCCTTGTGGACAAGAGCACCCAAAAGCCTCTCTCCTTGGCCAAGGCGAAGCGGGATGGCATCAGGGTTGCAAAGCTGCCTCTCGAAAACTACCTCCAGTGAGTGGATTATGCGGGCCTTCTTATTGCGCCCTTTCAGTCTGGCATTTCCCTCTCCCATTGAATTCTTCTGTCACCAGCCTTTTTGTAGAATGACCATTTGAAGGGTGCATTTTCTACTCGTGTCTGAGCTCTCAAGAACTAGGCGAGATTCCTGTCAACTCTCTTTAAATGTAAAAAGAGAACATTGACCCATTTTTTGTTGTTGTTTTGGGGGGTGGGGGGCTTACATTTCCTAAAGCCCCGTTTTATATACTGCAAACGACTTAATTTTTGCGAATTTCGCAAATCGCCTATAATTTGCGAAAAATAGGTCCCGCGAAAACAAAAACAAAAGCAAATTGTTTTGTGTATGTTTATACAGCAGGAATTTAGTCTGCCTCGGTGGGCGTTTGGTGTCTCAGGTGTAGATCAGCAATTTAGCCAGTGCGGTACAACCGTTAGCCTGGGGTCTTTAAGGTGCACCAGGCAGTAGTGATACATGACCGCACGCCGGTACGATGCTCATCCAGATCGAAACGGGCAGAACCCAGAATCCCTGGGTTCTGCAGCGCAAGCTTTCGCTCTACACGCGTCGAGCTGGGTGTGCGCTTTAGCCCACTCGGCCACCGATCCCCCTGGTCCCGCGAACAATTTGCATAAAATGTAAACACTTTAGAATCTATATTAGGGGCGAAGCTCCTTATGGTCTAGCCTTGTCCGTCCGTCCGTCCGTGCTCACATAAAAAGACAAAATGTTTGCGCAGTCGACAGGATTCGAACCTGTGCGGGGAGACCTGAATGGACTTCTAGTCCATCGCCTTAACCACTCGGCCACTGCTGCGGGACGAGTAGGTGGCTCTGAGATGCGGTAGTAACTCAAGAGCTGGGGATGTCATGTATGAAACGTTGCATGTAGCCGCTCAACATCTATACAGGAGAGGGCGCTGCGGTCAAATGCGTATATAATTGCGTTAAACTTTGCATTCATTGGCTCAGCGTTTATAGACGAGAGGGCGCTGCGGTCAAATGCTCAAATGCGTATATAACCACATTCCATACCACACATTCTCTTTCTGACATGGACCGTTGACTTAAGCGGTGGAGATGCGTTCCCACGGCTTCTAGCGGATCCAAGCTGATCCGCTGGAAGAACCACTGACTCTGCCTTTCACTGACCATAAAGCAATAATAATGAAGTTGAAACGCAACCCGGAACTTAGCACTACCTATGAGCTATAAAAAGAAATATCAGCACCACCAGCACTACCTATGAACAATAAAATCAGTATCATCAGCACCACCAGAGCTTTGCCCCAATCAACATCATTCACCACGTGGAGATCCGGTCATTTTTTTAAGATCCCACCGCGTTGCGAAAATGAGAACCCACGAATTATTTCAAAACTTCAGCTTTGAACTAAACCGCGAAATATGGGGCCCACGAAAAATAAGTCGTTTACGGTACTTAGTGAATACCGAACGTTTGCCCATGACCAGGAATTGAACAAGCCAAAACTCGTTCTTCTAATTGAAGTGAGACAATATTGGAAGAGAACTTGTTGGCTCCGTCAAGAATAGCACAATACTTATTAAGGGGGGACATGGCCTGGGAGGGTCAACTTTTGAACGATTGTCTCAAAGTGATTCAAACTTTCAGGGTGAATTGAACCCCATTAGGATTGATGACATCTAAAGTTTCAGCCTTATAGGCCAATTCTACCACATACTATGCTTAGCAAGCTCCAAAAAAAAGTTACTTTATTAGGAAATGTATTTAAGAAAAATAATAATTGAAATTCACAAAATGTTTGGTTTAATGTGAAGTAGAATACCCATAGTGTAAGTTAAGGTAACAATTAATTGTAGAAAATGTAATTCTAGAGAAAAACAATAACACCCAAAAAGAGCAAACGATTTTAACAAATTTCTGCATTTTAAAATAATCAAATTTTGTTACGAAGAATTTAGCTTTTTCAGATTATGAGTACCTTAACTTGTTCCTCGGGAAATTTCAGTTAAGGACACCACTGAATGAAATCTTCACACTTTCAAAATGTCCAATGATACATTTCCTCATACCACATTTCCTTTCAAAAAGTGAAACTGAGAAAAATGCATTTGAAGTTTCAACCTTAGGTTTCTTTATTTTCTACGAGTCCGAGGCAGGCGAAATTCACCTGGCGCATTGTTACCACCTTCCTCTTTGAGACTTCCTTGTTCCCCTGGCAATAGCTACCAGTTTGCATTGTTTGTAGGCATGCTAGCTTTTGTAGCAGGCATTCTCTGACAGATAAACTGGCAAGAACTATAAGGTAAATCACACTAAGGAAGAGCAGCAAAGCAGGAATAGGATCTGAAGTGGAAGATACTGTGAAAGGGTGTTACTGAAGATGACACAATATCACGTCACCGGGAAGGACCAATTGTAAACCCTGTTTTAGGTCTCAACTAATAATATTGCCCATACCAAATTTTCAGAATTTTTTCTGTTTGGATGTATTGCATCCTCCTGGTCATTGATACGTGTAAACTTGGAAAGCTTCTACGGGCTAAATCTGGAGTAAATGGCACTTCTAATAAGGGCGAGATATTCTGGCTATGTTAAATGTGTATGAAGCAGCGCTAAATAAAACATGTAAAAAACTTGCTCCCTGCTGACTCGGAGGGCTGCCGACATGTCGAAAATAATTTATTGTGAGATATATCGTGCATGTTTATAGATGAAAGTTTCTGAAACCATTCTTTGGAAGTTAATAAACATAAACATATCATTTTTGAAAAAATGTTTTTTTCTGAAAAATTTTAATTCCGAGGCCATGTCCCCCCTTAAGTTGAAGAAAAGAAGCTCAGTTTGTATTAATGGATTGTGGCACAGTTACGCAGCAAATCTCTGACAAGTCACATGAAAGATGACTACCGTAAAATCCCGAAAGGGTGCCCACCCTTTTGCCAGGGATAATTGTAGCAAAAAGGGGAGTGGGCCATGTTTCTGTAGTCAACTCCAAAAACAACGGAACTTACGAGAAATGGCAGGTTTCTTTGTGCCTTTTATTCTCGCTAATCCTCTTTGCTAAATCCATTGAAGGAACCATCACTGCCGCTGTCAAAAATCAAGTCCAAGGCCTCGTCCACCAGACTCTTGTGCTTCCCGGGTCCTGCCTCTGCCGCATCGTCCACCGACGCCAAACGGTCATTGAGTTCACCGTCCTCCGTTCCATCGAGGCTCGTTGAAATGCCGCACCTCTTGAAGGATCGCCGCTCCTTGTCCTCGGACATGGAGGCCCAAACCTCTGCCACAAAGTCTATGATGCTCTACCTAGACGGCCTCTTTGGATTTCCCTTGGGGGTCAGCTCGCCCGCACGGGGGAACACGGCCCAACGCTTGCGCAATGCATCGTTGAACGGTTTTATCCACGACACATTGGCCGGTTGCAGTATTGATGTGCAACTGCCTGGTATCAGGGCTACGTCTGTGTCCCTGGTGTAGAGAGCTTCTTGGGCAGCCTCAGTTTTACGAATCGGCACCTGGTCCAGCACGAGGAGCCTTCTCATGTCGTTGACGTTCGGTCCTTAGACCCTGCGTATTCACTCTTGGAGGACAGAGGTCATTCATTCATTTCTAGATGATGTGACCTGCACATTTTCTGAAACGAATACCAGTACAAATTAATTGACAACTTTGAACTGACTGACTTACGAAAGCGCATGCTGTAAGAAAGCTTAAATTCAACAAGCCTCAAACGCAACTGGTGGATAAATATGGTCCACCCACTGGGCGTACCTAACTGCCTGACCATTGAAATTGGGGAGTGGCTTTGCCATCTTCGAAGCAAGACGAAATTCGTGTGACTCCACAGTAACTGATGGCGCCACAATTGGACATGCTTTTTTTTTTCTTTTGCAAGTTCGAAGGGACGGTTAATGGTGGGGCGGCTTTATAGCTTCTGTTTCTGTCTTGCGTAGTTCTAAGCGTGTAGCTACCTATATCTACGGCAGAGGAAGTTTAAAAAAAACATATTTGGAACCTTGAGTGCAAATAGTGCCCTCGGGGGTATCATGGTCTCCACTTTTTACCTTGTCCGAACTCCGCTCCCCTCACAACTAATGAGAGGGGAGTGCTAAGAGGTTTGTCTTATCTGCAGAAAATCGAAGTTGTGCATCGGCCTTTAAGCACGATCAACGGTAGAAGCTTGACTCGCACTGCCGTTGCACACAAAGCCACGGTCATTCCTTGCCAGGCACAGCCGGTGCTGGTGATTCGGATACTTGAGTTGCAGGTAGTGTGGTTCATTCTGATTGCTGGACGGTCCATTCGCACCATACTCTGGTCCATATTGGCGATGTTCTGATCCGTATAATCATGCTCCCGGCGAAGAGTTGAAGCAGCCTTTCTGAAGACTGCAATCGCCTCAGTGTAGCCAGCAGGCAGCTTTTGACTTTCGTTTGTCCTAACCCGTATGGACACATCGTAGCGCTTTTTTCAGCAAGCAGTGTACTGGCACGATGCCTGAAAGTTGCCCAGACCCATCTGTGCCGCTAGCTCTCGTGCATGCTCTTGGAGAAGTCGGTTGCTGATGGCTCGACCGGCTGATCTCTCAGTCTCCAGGAAATCGATCAATGTGTCGTCAATTTCTTTGAAGTCGAATTAAACATTTTAGTGTTTATACAGCGTAAGGTCGGTCTGCCAGTAGGGGTGACACTGGTTTATACTGTAGAAGAACAATTTTGCCAGTACAGTACAACTGCTAACCTGGGTTCTTTAACGTGCTCATGCAGTACAGTGAAACCCGTTTAGAACGAACCCACGCACAGCGAATTATTGTCGATATCGAACTCACGGAAAATTTAAATAAAAATGCATGTGAAAAGTATGTTTTATAACGAACAACATATTGGCTATATCGAACTTTTTCCCCCCAGGAAGGCTTCCAAAAACGCGCAAACAATCATCTTCTAGCCTGTCCCTTCCCCCAAGAAAGAAGTATATAGGAAAGAAGAAAATTCCAGAAACTCAAGGTGCGAAAAAAATTGAGCGAACAGAAGCGATTCAGAAGTGGAAAACACTCGGCACGCACGCACAGAAAAAAAATCATCCCAAAGCGTTTCCTCATGAAGAGAAGCGATTCAGATGTGGAGATAAGCTAAAAGAACAAACTCTGCACTCATGCACACACAAAAAAGAAAAACTTAACAGCGCGTTGTTACAAGGTGGAAGTGAAAAGATGAGAAAGAAGCAGAAGCTCTCGCCTTACAACGAACTCATTTTGGAAGTTCGTTGTAAATGTTTTTTGCTATATCGAACTGACCGTAGAATTTCCTGCTGTTCGTTATAAATGGGTTTCACTGTAGTGATACCCGACCGCACACCGGTACGAAGCTCCTGAAGATCGAAATGGGCAGGGGTGGGGCTCGAACCCAGGATCCCTGGGTTTGATTTCTTCACTGAAGAGGTCACATTTTTGAAGACTAGAGTGGTAAGGGGGCAAAACCCAACAAAGGTTCAAGGTTGCTGTTTTGGTGCCCCCGCATCTGATCATTCGAATTGATAACCGGAAAGGAAAACAGTGACTGGGTCAATTTCTTCACTGAAGATTGTTCATCCAATACCCATCGTTCCCTTTAGCTTAGTCTTTAAATGGGAGTGCTGCATGAGCACTTGGTATTTCATGTTCCATTCCTGTTCACGCTTTCTGTCAACCTCGAAGTGGCGTGCACTCTTGCTCACGTTGATTCCGTTCTTGCAGTGCCACTCCACAATATCCACCTTCTTCTGGATGGTGTAGCTGGACCTCATCCTGGGACCACAGGAGATACGTCTTCACAGTTGACTGGCAGATTGAGGAATGAGATGGCCAGGTCATTCCGACCTAGTTTTTCTATACGGTTATCAATTCGGACTATTCGATGCGGGGGCGCCGAAAGAATAACCTTGACCTTTTGTTGGGTTTTGCCCCCCTACCACTCTAGTCCTCAAAAATGTGACCTCTTCCCTTTGTAAAAAGAATTGGGGCTTTCAACAACAAAAAAAAAAAGTCTACCTGTGCGTTTTTGATTTCCGGCAATCGCTATTTCCGGAGGATGGGCGATCTATTGTCAGAATGACTGAAATAGATATTTGGCCAACAGATGGGGGTGGGCCATCAATTGGGTGTCGTCACCCTTTCAGGATTTTACAGTACGTTTGGCTGGCTTACCAGAGTAGGGCAGTCACAAGTAAAAACATGGTAATCCATTAAAAGTGCAAACATGCTACGGCCGCATGCGTGACAGAGCTGTTAATGCATCAAGCTGCCACGCTGAGGATTGTGGTTCGAACCCCGCTCGGTCACACGTGCCACATGCGTAAGAGCAACGGTGACCCACTGTTCCGGGGCAGCCGCCGTTTTGTCACCATCGCAGAACGTACGGCGGCGTCTTTGTCGAATTGCGGGCACACGTTTGCCCAATTAAATGTTTATTTCCAGGTTTGCATTGATGTGCTGTTTTTGCTTGTGACACTATTATAGTGATGCCTCAATGATAATATGGACACCTCCTTTCCCCGCAAGGAAGAGTCCATAATGTGACTTGTTCATAATGAGACAAAAATGTGCGTATTTTCCCAGTTTGTGTTCCCAAAAATGGTGTCCATATAGCGGGGTGTTCATATTAATGGGGTCCGTATTACCGAAACATGACTGCATAATTTTTGTTAACTCTTGTTTTCATCATGTTCTGGCTATTTCAGGTAATAAGGTTATTTTTTTGGTCACACCACCCTCACTATTCAGAATGCCTCAATAATTTACCCTCGAAGCAAACGTATACCGTTGGCGTGTGACTAAACTTCAAACACAATTTCAAAATTTTTCTGTTGCACGGCACCAATTCTTTTTTTAATAATTTTGCTTTTAGAGCGCAGCTCTTAGGCGCCTGTTTCCAGCCTGAGCGGCGTCGCCGTCGGTGTAACTGCGCATTGCGTTATGGCACGTTTCCCATAATTATGTCACGTGTGACATTACGAGGGCAAAATCTTCCCGCTAAATGTAGTGGGGTAATTTTTCTGCTAAATTTAGTGAGAAAATTTTACCCTTGTGACGTCACACGTGACGTCACGTAAGGTCACATTTGACCCTCCCTACCATACTCTCTCCTCCTCCTCCTCAAGAGCTGTGCTCTAATTCGCCATTACAGAGAATCATAAAAATTTTTTTTTTTTTTACATTGTTTTTACTTGAGTGTAGAAAGTTGCTCATCTCAAGAGAGGCACTAAGTTGTTGGTGGGCACCCCTTAATGAAACATAGTCTTATATAACTTATTTCCAGAGGTGTTGGAACTAGTTTAATTTCTGCGTGCAATAGAGGAAAACATTTCTGCTTAGGTGAGAGATTGAGAACCAAGAAAATCTGGATACCCCATGTCCTAACACCTTCAAAGGGGAGCTACACACACTAAGCACATTTATAGAATAACCAGATTGTGCCCTTCCCGGCATGTCATTTATTATCTCTAAATTCAAAATAACTCTTGAAAAAACTCTAAAGGAAAAATAAATTCTATGCGGTAGGTTGTGGGAGTACAAAACTTGTTGCTCCGTCGCTTTTAAGGTGGGGAAAATCCTCATCCAAGACGCTGACATTGAACGCGCTGATGAACATCCTCCTGGAGATGAAGACTACAGGGGACTGGACGAAGGCGTTCAACTTCGTCCCTCGGCGGAAGCTGAAGAGCGAGCAGGAGCTCCAAGCCGAGGCCGAGCTTGCCGCAAAGAAAGAGGCCCAGAAGAAGAGGTGAGGACGCCATCTTTGCCTCGCATTGTCGCGTCGCCATATCCAGTATTGACTCCAGGGTGTTGACTCTGTCAAAGCGAAGATCTGCACTCATTTATATCTGGTTTGCCTAGGTATGGCTCAAATGTGTTTCTCTTCTAAATGTCGACACGAAAGATAAGCGTGAAATAGAAGCAAGTTGTGAGGCTCGGAACGAGACCTGCAACAAAAATATTCAACTGAATGTTTTCTTGGGGGGAGAGTTTGGTGTTTCTTGAAAAGCTGACATCCTTTCATGCTTTTCTTTTGCTTGTCTCCTCCTCTCTTACATTCTCTTATTCCTTCAGTCAATACCTCCGTACCTGTTGAAAGCTTGATACCCTTTCCTCCAATCAGAGAGGACTTAGTGCCATATGCTCCTCTATTTTACCCTTCTTTTCCTCCTGGGCAAGAAGAGGGAAAGAGGAGGACTAGCTGGGGAGCCAGCTGGTGATACCTATTTGAATGAAGAGCAAACTAAGGAAATGTCTTGCCTTTTCAAAAGGATAAAGTTATGGTTGCTGGCGGGGCGAGAAAGGCAGAAAGGAACTTCAGTTGCGCCGTCCCCGGCGCGAGCTCCCTACATTCACCCATGCTTCGGCGTCTTGTGCACTGCGAAAGTGCATGCAGCCAGAGCATGGCTTAAAGCACGGACCGGGTGCTGGAGGCCAAGCGTTCTAAATGCATGCCCTGCTGTTTTCATATTGAGGTATTTAGCGCACAGGGTAGGAAGAAGAAGGACAAGACAGAAAAGAGCGCTACTCACAACTACGTTTACTAATAAAAAGGGAAGAGAAAGAAAACACCTAAATAATCCCCCGCGGACTCGTGCACCTGCCACAGCCCCGTGAATGATGTTTTCATTTTGTCGGTGACTATGTGGAGTGCAAGTTCGTCTGCTTCTTGCACGTGGGTTGCGGTGACGTCCGAATGTTGAGCGCTGATTGGCTCTGGTTGGAAGGATAGGGGGTAGACTTCAATGCTTTGAAGTCCACCCTCTGTCCTTCCCATAGGAGCCAATTGGAGCTCGGCGTTCTGACGTCCCCGCAACCCATACGCAAGAAGCAGACGAGCTTGCGCTCTGCATAGTCTGCCTTTAATGTTTCCATTCCACAAGATGCACAGATTCTAATTGGTTGTGTCAGCCCACAGTATGAAAGCGTACTTGACTCTTCTTGTGAGAACTGGGAAGTTACACATACTGTAAAACACCGAGCAGGTGCCCAAATAAACGCGAAAAAATGGGGATTGGTGCTTGTTAGGGCCAAGAGCAGAAAAGGGGATGAGCCCTTGTTAGGGCCAAGAGCAAAAAAGCAGGGAGGCCACGTGACACAGTAGGCCTTTGCTTCATCCGACGGAATGGTGTAGGAACTCTTTAAAATCTTAAAGCTGTCGTGCCACTCTTGTCAAGCTTGCTTTGCGACCGTGCTCTAGCATGAAGCTTTTCCACTTCACGCCAACGCAGACGCATAAAGCTTTGCTATTTTGCATGGGCTTCTTGAAGAAGCAGCTGACACGATAAGAGCACCTCAGTTATCTAGTTCAGTGAGCTTGAAAGTTTTCTGGTTGGCCGCTTGATATGACCTTTGCCTATTTATTTTGGACGTCTTGAAGTTGGGGTTGTGAGCCCTTTTCACAACATGAGCACACTCCCGGTACCTTATGGTACAAGTCAAATAACTTTTACTTGACCTGAATTGTTGTTAAGTTACAAGTCTATGTCAAAGCTCAAGTTATCCTGAAAAAGTAACTAAATTACAGTTCATTTTCTAGGTTAGTAAAGACATTGGTACAGTTTAATTTTGATTCAGTACCCTGCTCACAACAATATTCGAAGCACTGTACTAACAACACATTGTGTTGCTGATGAGACTAAACCCATGTGACTTTGTGTTCGTCGGCATAATTTTGTGAAGGTAACTCTTACGTCATGTTCAAACATCTGATTACCTAGGTCATAGTTACTTCATTTAAGTTGAGGAGCATCTAGTTGCTGAAGTTATCACGAAATGCAGTAGCATACATACTTTTTGATAATGTATCACTGCTTTACAGATTTGCTTACTGGTCAGCAAAGGAAAGTGTGTCGACCATGTTTTTTTCGCGCAACTGTAGACCAAGCCGCGTCTGCACCGTTTTTTGTTTTTTTTTTGCTTGCAGGGTCTTACGAAGACTGCCTCCGGATTGGTAATTGCAGCAGGGTCGTCGTGCTCGCCCTAAAATTGTACCTCACTAGCAGAGAACGTACCTCTTGCCTGGCCAAGTTACCACACCGTGCATTCACGTGCACTTTGAATTCTGTGTTGCGTGCAGTTACCCGACCTCTGCATTGCAACGACCCTAAGATGTCTCTGTTCCATTAAATTGTCGTCGGCTAGTCTGCTTGGGGCTTCGTTTGTACCATGCTGCCTGGAACGAGTCTCGTGACAGTGCGCCAGGCTTGTATGTAGTTCAACTACTCTACTCAAGTTACCGTAGTTTAACTACTTTTTTTAGTAATTTAGTAACTTTCAATTACATTTTTATTTCTATAATTAGTAGTTTACTTTAATTACTTTGTCCAAGTAACTTCTACTCAAATTACAAATTAGTTTCGAATTTTGGTTGTTTTGCCTATCAACTACTAAAATTGGGCTCTAACCTACCTGCCTACGTGCCACTAAAATTGGGCTCTTGTGCCCATGAGCCACTAAAATTACCTATACCTGCACAAAAAGAGGTAACGTGTTGGAAGATCAGCTGATATATGTAAAGAGGGGGAAGAATGTGGCGAAGGAAGAGAAGGGGGGGGGGGGGGGGAGGTAAGAAAGTGGTTTGGAGATTCCAAAACCCCCTAAAGATTTTCACGAGCCCCCCACTGCAACAATACCACTACAAGGCGCGGGGAGCGAACAGACACGACACAAGAAAGGCCAAGTAACTGCGTCATTTGCGCCAAAGACTGGCGTTTCTTTGTGTCCAGAATATGGCGGTAGCTGTCCAGAGTTAAGTGTCATCATTTCTGATCCGGTGGACACGATCCTGGGGAAACTAGCCCTTAACAGCTCTGCTGTAAAAAAAATAAACAAGCAGTGTTACTGTAGGTACTACTGTCTAGAAAACTTGAATGTTACTTGAACTAGTATCTCTATACTTGTACTTGTACTTTACCACAGTATTTTTCTGGTGCTTTCCGAGAAAAGGAAAACTCCCGACTTCAAGCTACATTTCCCGAATTTGAAAACAAAAAATGGTGTATCGTCGTGTGAAAATGCGCTCTCTCGAGACGTCATCTTGTCATTTCTCCAAATGAAGTAATGGCGGCTATAAGAGCGGCACGGATAGATGCCTTACAATTTGGTTGTGCCAAATAGCTCGTCAGCGAGAGTAAATCAACTACTCTGGCGACTTGACTTTATACAATATTTGCTGCCATTTCCGTAAAAAACTGATACACCTCCGATTACCCCTTGAGTAATGCGTACTAGTTGAAAAACAGCTTCTAGGGAATGAAAGGGCATCATGGAAGCTTCCATTAAAATTACTTGTACTTTACCTTGAAATGTATTGTATATATAGTATGTTACTTCAAGTCCCTTGCACCCACTGTACTTACTACTTTACTTTAAATACATAACCTCTCATTTACTTTTTACTTTATTGTATTTGCTCGAGTAATAGCCACATTGTTTATTAAAGGGACTCTGACAGGGTGTTTATGCTCACAGAGGTTTTTAGTTGTACATGACATATGAGAGCCCAACTACCCAGAACACAATTTGCGATTTGAAATTCGGTTTCTTTCCGCCCGAAAACCGCCAATCAAGAACTGGCTGGTTCGAGTCTCGCTCACTTTCTTTTCTGTGGTCATGGGCCGTTTTCTAAGGTATCAACGTGACCACCAAATTGAATCAAGTTGTTGCTCACTGAAGGCACACACTCAATGTTAAAAATAAAAAAAAATATGAAACCTATTTCTTGTGGCCTCTAAAAAGCTGGAAATACGTTGATTGAAAAAAAAAGTTCCACAGACAACCGGAAGCATTCTGTGCGTGCGTCGTTTCGCGTATCGTGGGACTTGCGGGGACGGCGGCAGCGGACGACGGGCGTGGGACCTCTACTTCAGAACTGTCGTTCGCGGTACCTGCGAATTCAGTCTGCCTTTAAAAGAGAAATTTGGGACTGATTAAAAGAATTGGTATTCATCCCGTACGACACGCCCGACCATCAAGCCGATTTGCACGAAGACGTCGCCGAGGCGTCGCTCCCTTCTTGCGGCTGAAGACATCGCTCGCGCAAACGTCAAGCACGATGTGCCTACTTCGAGTTGAATATGCACCCGTACAATTTCTTTACAACGTGCGAATGTCGCCAATGTGTGGTGCTTCCCGATTTCGACCCAGGAGTGCTTTTGCTGGAGGAAAATCGGCAGCAAACTTTCCAACCTACAGTTTACCGGCTGGATTGTTACTAAGGAAAGAGATCACCCAGTAAAGAGATGCCCCAGTAGCTCAGTGGGAAAGACGTCCGCTTCACACACGGTAGAACCGGGCTCAGTCCCCAATGAAATCTTTTTTTTTTTTTTTCAGACATTTTTTGATGTCTGCATTTCTTCTTTTTTTTTTTACAATTATCACTGAAGAAACAAACAAAAAAATAACAAACAATTGTTGTGGACGACATGTCGCTGAATTAAATGGTATGGGATTTCTTTTCTGACACCTGCGAACTCATTGTAATCACTTTCCACAAAATGCAAGGAGCATGTAAATCAGGTAGCGTCCGCTTTCCGAGGTGCCCGTAAACGTTCTACAGGAATTGCATCCAGCCATTGGTCCCGATCCCGTTGATCTTTCGGAAACTTTGTCACACAATGCCACTTTTTTTCGGACGCAGGAAATGTGAGCCAGCTCTTCACGCAACATCTTGGGTGTATTCTTTTCGGAGCCGATCATGGAAATTCATTACGGGCACTCACTACTCATCTTCAACTCCTCAATGTACAAAACAACTCATCTTGGGGTACAGAACAGCGACCGGAACAAACATAACTGCAAAAGAATCGCACGGCAAACAACAGTTCCCACTTCGCCGCATGTCGTCTGCTACGCAGAAAAGAAAAAAAAAAACGCACGGTCGGGTGTAGCCACACGACTTCCGCCATTCACACTCTTCTCTCCACTTCTCCAACCTCTGTGTGCGGGTTTCGGTTTCGAGCAGTTGCGTTTTTTGGCTTCATTAAAAAAAAATGCGCTACTCTGTTGCAAAATATTAATTGCGTAGTCCTCCGACACCATAATGAAGCGCCTGGCAAAAACTGAAAAAAAATTTTTGGTGTGTGTCAGTGTCCATTTAAGAAAACCTGAGGGTTCGCTTTTCCGTGAGGCATGCGGCTTGCCAATCATCGCGACCGGCAGCATGATTCCAGTGGTTTACAGGACAGAGCGTCTTCGCGCGAAGATACCATCTGTGAAAATTTCATTTGTATGGAGAATCGTGTTCTCGATCTAGTTATTCGCTTTGTTATTTTTGCGCAACGTGATGATTGGCTGTATATGTGTTCCGTGGGAAAGCAGACACAAGGGTCTTGTTCATAAATAGTGCAGCTATTGAGTAAATACGGTACTTCAAGCACTTTTTATATGTTCTTTACGCAACTCTGTACACAAACCAACACTGTCTAAAAAATTAAGCTCAGGCAGTGCTAAATCTCAAAGGAGAAATGATACATTCGCAGGGCATCGTTGAGCAAAAAAAGAAAGTACCAGACAATTAGTCACACAGAAGCAGAACCAGCTTTTAAAGCATTACTCTGAAAAAAACTAGCTGATTCATATTTGGCTGGTACAATTTTGCTATCGGATCGAAACCTATGTACTTTCTTGATACTGTAAAAAAACTTGTAATAGTAACTTCAGAGTAACATGTGTTGGCGCTGTCGCAAAAGAGAATGACTGACCCCAGCTTGTGCCACCACCCGTGTGGCGCACTGTTCTTTTTGCTGGGCAGGCGTACCCGCCAGACATATATTAAACGCTCCCTTTTAAGCCTTCAGTGGTCCCTGTTTCCCATGTCGAGGCCCTAACACATGTAAATAACTTCAAGTAACTTGTTTTTCTCCTTTTTTAATGTATATATTAGGGATATGATGCTTGTGTGTCATACGATGTTAAATGTGTTTTACGCTACGAATTGTGCTTGTTGTGTAACATGTCATTTTGCTAGTTGTTTTATTGTGCCCTTTTATTTCATTTTACATTTCACGGTGTTCAATGTTGAACTAGCTGTTTCATTGTGCCTACTTTGTTATTTTTATTTTAACTGTGTAGGCCATGTTTGCTGAACATATTCCTTGGACTGTTGAACTGTTGGGGGAACAGAGACTCTATCAGGCTTCACACCTTTGTCTCTGCCCCCTGGGCAGAAAAACCCGCCAAACAAATAAAGTAAAAAAAAAAGAAGTAATTTGCTACTTTTTAACGGTAATTAGTAATCTTTTAATTACTTTCCATTTGAGTAATTTCTACTCCACTCAAATTACTTTTGAGGTCAGTACTCAGTAACTGAACTTAATTACTTTTTTTTAGTAACTTGTACATGTTTGCTGTGCACAAGTTGTCCCATTAAAACGAAAAGGGGGACGTCCAGCCGAGAGCATAATTAGGAGCCCAGCGTTTCGAGGCCTCCACGGCCTCTTTTTCAAGGGTGACCGTGACAATGGCTGTTGAGGAGCAATATATTTATTTTTGTCTTGCCGTCGTCAATCATCGTCCGACGTAAATGTACTGGTGCACTTCCATTGGTCCGAGTCGATGCATCGGGAAACTAGTACCATGTTTTCCGGCGTGTCGGTCATGGCTTCTTTTCCGAATTTCCTGCGGTGCGAGTGATGCGGCGGTTTTGTCTTATATTTGTTTTTCTCTTTATAAGTATGAGCCTTAACTGTGCAAGATGTAGGCCATATCGACATTGACAACGAAGGAGGAATGGCAGTGCACTCCCCGGATGGCCTGCTCTTCTGGCGGTTCAAACATTGTCCAAGGTGTGACGGCATAGGTCCATGGCTACAGCGACTCTCCATGCCATTCTTCACAGTGCTCCGTAACTGTGTAAAGAAGTGAAACTTACATAGCAACCTTTTTGTGTATTTTTGTGCATTTTTGCGCCAGTAGTCCTGCCCTCCCATTTTGCTAAGGCACAAATGCACGTGCGCCATACTTCCATCCTATGAGAAAGGTAGGGCAGGACCGCCTAGCGCAAAGATGCGCTCCGATTGGAAACCGTAACCTAAAAATGCATCCAAATTGAGCTTTTTCTTCTTTCTTTCTTTGGATGCCATAAAATGCTGTTTTTGCCTTGTACGTTTCTAAAAGGAGTTGATTTAGCGTTCAGAGGGAGAGA